TAGAACCCAGCCCAGGCCTGCCAAACAATAACAACTACAACCAAAAAATAGCCAGGTGTTGTGGCTGGCACCTGTAGTCCCAGCTACTTGGGAGACTAAGGCAAGAGAATTGCTTAAGCCCAAGAGTTGGAGGTTACTGTGAGCTGTGACACCACAACACTTTACCCAGGGGGACAAAGGGAGACTCCATCTCAAAAAAAAAAAAAAAGACCGTCCATGTCTTTCTTGAGGTCAGCCTTAAAAGGAGGTTCGGGGACACCCTGGGCTGAAGTAATGGTTTTGAGACCCCTGAAATCATGCTGTCTGTGGATGTCCACCCTTCCAATCTGCCCTCCCTACACACACGCATGTGCACACATAAGCCTTGCCCCCAGATCTGAGTAATCTTTGATCCCATGTGTTCTGCCTGTAAACTGGGACTATGGTGGTCCAGAAGAGCCCACCAAATCCTGAGGGTGGTAGAGCAGCACCCCATTTGGGCGCCGTGGTAGGGGGAGCTGTCTGGCTGCGCTTATGAGAGTTCCAGACTTGTATCCCAACAGCTGCTGAGGCTCCTGACGTTCTCCACCACCTGTCCCTCCCTGACTCACAGCCGGCCTGCCTGCCCAAGGCCTCTGAAGAAGTCTCCAAACATCCTACTCCTGGTCACCCCTCTACTTAATTTCAGATACCCAAATAAGGAGTTTTAAACTGTGTCTGTGAGAAGCCAGATGAGGTGTAAAACATCCGGCCTTGGAAGCTTTGTAGCTTTGAGGCAGCTCGATACAGGGGGAAAGGGAGAGAAGCCCAAGTCCAGGCAGGGTCAGGTGAGGCACCGGGACTGGGCTCCTGCGTCCTGGGGACAGGATGTGTACCTCTTCCTGGTGGGGTCAAACCGGGCTGGGGCATCTGACCTCTACAACGTACATTCTGGGTAACCATGGCCAGCTACTTACCCTCTCTGGGCTGAAGCAACTAATTCTCACCTTGCAGGTCTGTGGACTGAATAGCATCAGGGTACAAAGAAGTTGACCCAGGCCTAGGGCCAGATTCTGTGGTCAGTAGCTAGAACAGCACACATAATATAAGTAATGGCAACTCCATCCTGTCAGCAGCTCAGGCCAAAAGCCATGGAGTTGTCCTTGATTCTTCTTTCCCTAACATGCCTCACCAGACCTATTAAATCCTGTCATCTCACCCTATGTCCAGCCTTCTACCCCTTCTATTGCCCCACCCCGGTCCAAGCCACCATCATTCCTCAGCTGGGTCATTGCTGCAGTTTCCCAGATTGTCTCCCAACGGCCCCTCAGTCTTTCCTCAGCACAGCAGTCAGAGGGATCAAACCCTCCATGGCTCCCTATTTCATTCACCCAAGTCTGTACAATAACCGGGAAGGCTGCTGGTGATCTCCCCCTACCCTCATCTCTCTGACCTCCGCTCCCACATTCTCCCCCCAGCCCTCTGTCCTGGCCTCACTGACCTCCTGCTCAGCACACAGCACACCTCCCTGACACCCACGACTCAGTCTCCTCTTCCCCCAGAGGCCTGCCTTGACTGCTGCAGTTAATACCACTCCCTGACCCCACCCTAGATCCCCTTGCCTCCTACCTCACCCTACCAGTCCTTCCCCCACAGTACTTAGCACCCTCTAGCATCCCCAGTAACTCACTGATTTCATCTCTGTTTTGTTCCCTGATGTATCCTAGGCACGTAGAACTCAAAAAATATTTGTTGTGTGTGAATAACAGACTCTCACGGCAACCCTATGAGGTAGTTAAGGCAACATACTTTTTTGTTAATGACAGGTTTTCCCCAGTTCATCTCTGATTCTCTCCAAGCATCTGGGGTCAGGGTCATATGGCAAGTGAAGGAACTGGCTCCCCAGTCGACTTGACCCCTCCCCTTTATGATCCTACACGGGGTAGGGGGGGCGGTGGTGGTGCTGACCCCCTTAAACACTCAGGCACGTGCACAGATGCAAACCCATTCCTTTGGCTCCCCTCTGCGCAGCTGAGGCCAACAGGAGCTGAGTTTTTACTACTTCCTACTAAGTGAGAAAATTAGGGAAATTAACACAGAGAACACAAGAATCATAAAAACTGTCTGGCTTATGAAGTGCGGGTTTCCGACTCAGTGCTCACAGTGAGCAGGCTCTGTCTTGTTTCCAGTATCTTCTTAGGTGGCAGTATTCTTGCCTCAGGGCCTGGCGCCACTCTCTGGGTGCCTGGCTTGTGTCCCCTCCTGTCTGGGTCCCACCTGCTATCTGTCTTCCACCTTCTCCCTCCTGTCCCTAGAGCTAGAAACCCTACCCTGCTGTTTCCTAGTCTTGATCTAGAGAAGGGCACTTCTCTGGGGCAGATTCCTCTTCGGTAAAATGAGAAAGATAATAATGCCTTGGCTCAGAAGTATTGGTGGGAGGTACGGATGAAATAATGAGTGTAATGGGCTCTGGGAACTTTCAAACCTTACCCAAACCTAAGGAAAATGGGAAGTATGCAGGTGAGGGCAGGACCTGCCCCAGAGCAGGGAATCTGATGCAGCAGTATCAGGACCCCTTTGTCTGGGGTCTTGCATCTGATCACAGACAAAGGAGCTTTGCTTTGAGTTACAGTGACCCTTTGTTTTCCCACCTACCTGGTTATAGATGAGGCAGAAACTGAGGGAGCCGGAACACAGAGGGAAACTAAGGCCCAAAGTGGGGCCACGCTTGGAGGTACCACCACGTCTGGTACAAGATCCTGCAGGAACTGCCAGGTGCACTGGTACACACCTCTAGTCCTAGATACCTGGGAAGCTGACAGAAGGATCATGTGAGCCCAGGAGATACAGCAGAAAACAAGTTGGACAGGGCTCCTGCCCTCGTGGGGCACAGTGCCTGTGGGCAAGGCAGATATTAAGCAAGTACGCTTACATAATTATTATCAACCACACAGTAAGGACTTGGAAGGTGAAGCATGGAGTGCCATGACAGTGTGCCACGGGGGCCTTGACTTTGTGGAGGGGGTGCCAAGATGGCTTCCCTGGGGAGGAATTGTTTGAGCGAGAACTAGTGGCAAGATACTGTTAGATTATTTCTACCAAGTCAAAATGGGGCTCCCCACAAGACCCCCCGCCCCCAGGAAGCTGGACAGAATGTGGCCTCTAGGGTAGGAGATAAGATCCAGCAGGGATGGGGCAGGGCGGCCGTGAGGGGTGCAGCCTGGGCTCCTGCTCAGGCACAGGGAGGGCTTCACTCTAGTCCTTCTGACCCTGCCCATCCCCCAGCACACCCAAAAGTTCCTGGCTGCTCAGCCACCCATGGACGCAGAGGGGCAGGGCCCCATGACCTCATTGTAATAGCCTCCTACAGCCTTGCCAGCAGGAGGAGAAAACAAATACTGAAAAGTCACCCCCACCCCACCCCCACACGTCCTCCCTGGTGCCTGCTCAGGAAAACTCAGGGTGCTGCTGCAGGCTCCAGGCTCAGGCTGCAGGCAGCTGCCCTACTCAGGAGGCCTGAATGGAATTCAAAAGTACTTACTTTTCACTGAAAAATTCCAGAGATTGCTCAACATTCCTTTAACCCCAGGAGCTGGGGTTTGGCAGAAGATTCTGACAGCCGGCAGGAATGAGAGCCTGTGGACCTGCCCCATGGCTCTGGACTGTCAAGGCATAGCCCCTCTCTCCTGCTCCTTGGGGGCAGAGGGAGGGAGGCAGGGGGCTTTCCTAGGGGCACTGATAGGGGAGGGGATTCTGGTGGAGCAAGAAGGAGTTTGCACAATGCTCAGGCTTCTGTAGAGAAGAAATGATGCTCCTGCCCCAGTGAGAGCTGCCGTGTTCCCAAGAGGCTGGGGCTCCAGATTCTTGGGCTCTGGTGTGAAGATTATTTTCCCAGTTCTCAGGAGCCATGGGAGCAGCTCGCGGAGATGACTTCCTGTGGCTATTAGGGAGATAAGCTCCCTCTTCCCAGCTCTCCGTGGGAGGAGCCTGGCTCAAATGCCCCCTCTTCCAGGCAGTCCTCTTCTGAGAAGTCCGCTTCCCGCCTGGATTGAAATCTATCTTTTGAATCCTTTTGTAGTTCATAAACATGATGATCAGGTTTTCATGCACCTGTGTGAGATGTGCCTCCCTCAGACTTGTCACAATTGGCACATTACCCATCTGATGTATAAAAAAAAAAAAGTCCATTTTTTCCTCCCTTCTGATAAGGCATTTATCACATTATGTCTCATATTGTGGTTGTTTCTAGAAATGTCTGCTCTCCCCTACTAAGAGGGAAAGGGAAGGCAGTCACCTTTTTGGTTCATGTCTGTATAATTCTTTAGGGTCTCCCTGGCACGGAGATGTGGATGCCAAGATGTTCACCACAGCATCACTTACAACAGGGGAAATGGCAAGCCGTCTAAATGTTTAAGAATAGGGGTTTGATTAAAGACGTTAGAACGTACCAATGCGTCGGAATGCTCAGCAGCCATCAGCAATTACATTTACAAAAATATTTTAAAAATATGGGAGAATATTAAAATCAACAAACTTCCGTCACACGGGTGGAGCTTTTTAGTGTTTCTCCTACTTATTTTTACTATGTAGATATACAAACACAGTAAAATCCCACGAAAACATGATCTGCGTGGAGATAAAAATTAAATTGTGTTAAGTATGGGGTTGTATTGTTGTGAAAATAATGGAAAACAGCATTTGGAGCGGGGCTGGGGATCTAGACTGTCACAAAAAGCGTAATACGGACATGTTGAAAATCGTACCACACTCTGTAGACTGAACTGAAGAAAAACACAAATGGCCTTGAGGCTGTCACTCTGAACCTGACTGAACTGAAGAAAGTCCCAAATGGCTGTCACTTCCTAATCTTACCCACCTGATCCTCAGGAGTAGAGAACAGTGACTGATTGGTTTGAGAATAAAGGAAAATAGGTTTAATCATTTAAACCTATTGATTATATCTAATTTTGAATGATAATCAAATTTTACCCACATTTTTTAATGAAATGAGAATCATACTGTATCTATGTTTCATATCCTTTCTTATATTTAATGTGGTTTTTAAGCAACATTCTATTATATATTATTTTGGCTGGGCACAGTGGTTCATCCCTGTAATCCTAGAACTCTGGGAGGCCAAGGCAGGTAGATTGCTTGAGCTCAAGAGTTCAAGACCAACCTGAGCAAGAGCAAGACTCCATCTTTACTAAAAAAAGAAAAAAAAAATAGCCAGGCATGTGGTGCACACCTGTAGTCTCAGCTACTTGGGAGGCTGAGGCAAGAAGATCGCTTGAGCCTAAGAGTTTGAGGTTGCTGTGAACTGTGACAATACCATGATACTCCACACAGGGTGACAGAGTAAGACTCTGTCTCAGAAAAATAAAATAACTAATGTTATTTTAAAACACAGTATTGCAATGTCCTCATTTAAAAAAAAAACTTTGTTCTTATCTTTGACTTCCCCTCCTCCTTATTCATAGGGTACAATTGCTAGGCAAAAGATATAAATATCATTAAGAGTATTGAAATACATTTTCAAATTTCCCTCCAGGAAAGTTGTACCAATTTATATTCAACAGCCAGAGACAGCCTTGGCCCACAGCCCTGTCAATGGATGGGTTTACCATTGTTAAATGACGCTCATCCAGCAACACCCATAAGCCGAACAAATTGAAACTCACACGAGTGAATCAGAAAGGATGCTGTTGATTGTGTTTCCTGGACATGAAATAAGGGACCATAACACAGTCTGTCTCAAACCTTCCGTAGTGACCTACGGATAGTCTCAAAACTTTCGTAGTGACCTACAGATAAAGATAGGGACGCCGTTAGCTGAGAAAAGGAAAAGAGAAAGAGGATTGGGATCAGGAGAACAGAAATTTGGTTTAGGAATATTGCACATATAAAACAAACAAACAAAACCACAGAAGATCCTAAATAAGCAAAAAATATTTCCCCAAAGAAAACATGCAAAACATTAAAGAAGAACAAAATATTAATCTTACCAATCCATTAACTAAGATTCATCGGCTGAAAAATAATAGAATTTAAATTTTTACAAGTTTAGTTAAGGGAGGCAGGTTTAGGGGAACTTCACTAAAACCCAGAAGAACAGAGAGACAGCTAGGAACTTACACATCGACAAGAAAAAATCTGCTCTCTCTAGTCTTAAGGTCAAAACTCTCAGAGAAGAGCTCTGACTGACCCAACCTGGTCAATCAACTGATGCCTGGGAGTGAGCTCTATTGATTGGTGGTCACCTTAGGTCAAGTATCCTTCCTTGAGCTAATAAACAGTGTCTGGGACATGATTTGGGAGAGGATGGGCATACATATGAATCACGTGCTTACAGTTGGCACAGAACGCTGTTCAGAAGGGAGTGCTTTTCTGGACACACCACACAATGGAGATCACTGGATTCCCTGTGTGTCCATGTACTTTTTCCTCCATATAAATAATGCCCCTAATATCCTCGCTTATTGTAATGCAACCATCCCCATCTCAGTGGTATGCGATTCAAAATCTTTTCCAGCTACTTCATCTAGCTCCGAGTTCAGACTTTACTATATGGGAAATCTTTTTTTCCCCCTCTGATAGCTGTTAAGATTTTCTTGTTATTCTTGATGTTCTGCAGATTTAGAAAAGCATGTTTTTTTTTTTTTTTTAAAGACAGAGTCTTGCTCTGTTGCCTATGCTAGAGTACTATGGAGTCAGCCTAGCTCATAGCAATCTTACACTCTTGGGTTCAAGTGATTCTCCTGCCTCAGCTCCCCAGGTAGCTGGAATTTCAGGTGCCTGCCACAATGCCAAACTAATGTTCTCTATTTTTAGTAAAAATTGGGCCTCACTTTTGCTCAGGTTGGTCTCTTACTCCTAAATTCAAGTTATCCTCCCACCTCAGCCTCCCAGAGTGCTGGGATTACAGGCGTGAACCACTGCACCAGGCTTAGAAAACCAAGTATAGATGTGAATTGATTATGAATTCTGCTCAACGTTGAGTGGGCACTTTTTGTCTGAGGATTCTGGAGAGGTTTTTTGCTTTTTGAGATAGAGTCTCCTTCAGCCATCATGGCTAGAGTACTGAGGAGTCATAGCTCACAACAACCTCAAATTCCTGGGCTCAAGCAATCTTCCAGCCTCAACCTCCCAAGTAGCCGGGACTACATGAGCCTGCCACCATGCCTGGCTAATTTCTTCTATTTTTAGTAGGCTGGTCTCAAACTCCTGACCTCAAGTGAGCCTCCCTGCTTCCCAGAGTGCTAGGATTCCAGGTGTAAGTCACCACACCTGCCTGGCCTCTGAAGAATTCTTGACCATTATCTCTTCAGCCTTATTCACCATGTGCTCTAATCCTTTCCTTTTACCTTCCTCTTAGAACTTCTCAAAACTCTTCCCAGTTTCCATAATTGCCCTTTCAGAATTTTTTTTCTAAATCTCCCATGGATGCTCTGCATAAATTTCTCAGCTCCATCTTCCAAAGCACTAATTTTTTATTCAACTGTGTTTGGTCCAGAGCTTCCCCATATGTTTAAATACTGGATTTTTCATTTCTGGAGTTTCTAATTGTTCCTCTTTTATAACCCCTCACTCTTACTCACTTCTTCCCTTATCTTTTGAGGATTCTAAACATGCTTATTTTACAACCATTTTTATCTTTCTCTACTATTTTTTTTCCTCTGAAGGGAGTTCAACTCCTGCTGATTGCTTTTGTTGCAGTCTCTCTTCACATTAGTTTCTTACCCATGGAAATGCTTATCTTTTGAAATGTGGCAGCATCATTTTATTTCTCTCTTTTTCCTTGGAGGGGCAGCTCAGAGTGATGGTCAAGAGCTCCGATTCTGGAACCAGATTGCCAGTGCTCAAATCTTGGCTCCACAACTGAGCAACATAGCCTTGAGCAGGCTGCTTTGTCTCTCTGAGCCTTGTTTTCCTCATCTATAAACTGGGGGACAATACCCAATAGGGCTTTAGGGAGAGTTGAATAAGCTAATGTGTATACAGCACATAGACAATGCCTAGATCATAGTGAGTATTTAATAAATGTTAGACAGTATTTCTACCCATTAGAGAAAATGAGTGAGTTTGGTCTGTATGGAAATACTAATCAAAGCATTAACCTAGAGGGCCACTGGACAGTGAGTCCAAGACCAGGGTTCCTGTGTGTGTCCATTCTTTCTAGTCAAGTCATCCCATAATCTTGGCCTCATCGGTCATTTGATTACTGCTATCACCAACCACCTCCATCCAACATACAACTCAATGCACCATGCTGGTAGGAAACAGGGTAACCATTATGGATGCTACCATTTGAATGGGGTGAACACTAGTCCAATTTTTAAACCACAACCAGCTGGATGGGGATGGTGAGGTCAATGCTGTGGCTAGTAAATATCACTGCATCTTTGGCAAGGAGTGAGCTCTCTGGCTGGCCCGTCTCACTCCCAGGTTTTGCCTGTTGGGAACATTTCCTTCGCTAATGAGCATGGCAATAGAGAGGATTCTTCTACTTGGGGCCATAATGCCTAACAAATGACTTCCTGTTGGTCTAGGCACCAGAGGATTGTCTCAGGACAAAGTTTCCCAAACTTGTTGATCGATAGAAATCTCCTGGGGAATTTGGTGAAAATATAGATCTCCATCACAATTTAAATCCACTAAATCTCCAGGGGAGGTGCTTTGAAAACTGCATTTTTAACAATCCTCTCAAGTGATTGTTATCAGGAAAGTCTAGAAAATAACCACCTCTGTGGTCAGTGACCACACACCCCAGTTTGGTAGACTTTGGCTTTATTTATCACTTAAACCCTTAAAACTCTAATCAACTGACTGTGAGCTTCATTTCGTAGGTCTCTGTTGGCCAATAACCAACCCCAGAAATGCTGTAAGAATGAGGGCGGTACTGGACCTGGTGCAAGTGGCTCCAGCCTCTTAGCAGCAGCTCTGGAGACCCTGCCAATTCTCAAAGGCTGAGCAGGAAACAAGGGGGAGGGAAGCGGGGCCACTCTGTCATGCAGGGTTGTCCTGATGCCACTCAGACCTTTTCATTACACTGAGGGGGTAGGGAGAGGTTGATAATTCCTTGTTGGGCAAAGAGTGCACAGCACAGTGTGTGGCTGGTTACAATCCTCCCTGACTATCACCATTCCCATTTCCAGGACTCTATAACT